TACTAATGTTAAAAAAAATTATAAAAATTATAATGTTTATGATAAAAATAACACCATCGATTTTCATAGTACTAGTGAAAAATACGTTTTTCCCGCCATTTCAAATCAGGCGCTAGCAGAGCCATATATCGGCAGACATTTCACGAAAAACATAGAAAGTGGGCACAGCATTTTGTTGTTATCTGTTGTTATCATTATAGTTGTTATTACTGTTGTTATCATTATAGTTGTTATTAGTGTTATCATTATAGTTGTTATTACTGTTATCATTATAGTTGTTATTACTGTTGTTATCATTATAATTATTACTGTTATCATTATAGTTATTACTGTTGTCATCATTATCATTATCATTGCTGTTGCTGTTGTTGTTATTATCATTATTATTGCATCACTGTTATATCACCATTATTATTATTGCTGTTGTTCTTATTGTTATTATCATTTTATTGTTCTTATCATCATTATTATCTTTTCGTCATCAATATTGTTAATATCTTCATTATCATTGTTATCATTATCATTATCATTATTATTCTCATCATTGTTATCATTATCTTTATCACTGTTATTATCATTATCATTATCATCACCAGCATCAGCAGAACCACAGTCACCATCCTCATCAAAATCATTACTATCACCATCACCTTCATCATCACTATCACTATCACCAACATTATCATCATCATCATCGTCGTCGTCATCGGCATCAACATCATCACCTTCACCTTCATCTCCTTCACCATCATCATCAGTATTATCACTATCACTATCATCAATATTGACTCACTGTTACGGATAGCAACAAGGCATGCCATATCCAAAGTAATTTTAGCCTAACAAGAGCTCTTTTTAAAGTCCTATTGTTTTTTTTTTATTGTTATTAGTACTTTGGTAACACTATAATCAAAATATAATAGCAATATTGATGTTTATAGCAATAGAAAAAAATCCGTTAATTTCAAGGAATGATAATTAGGGACTATTAACTGACTCTGATGGCTGAGCTCTGTGTGGGCAATAAAATTTACAAAATAAACTGCACTGGACAGTACATAAATCCGATGCCGAAGGGTGATATTACCATTATTATTACCACCATTGTCATTATCATTAGCATTATTGGCATTCATCTTCTTCATCCTAATTAACATTGCCATGAACTTCATCATCATTATATATGTAGGCGGGTATGTATGCATGTATGTATACTGATATATATATTTTTTTTTTTTTCTGTGCCGTATCAGAGCCTGACGTTGGCGACCAAGTTTAATTTCATGGTTGTACAAGGGAGTGTACGAAGGTGGTTTCCCGTTGCCTTCCTTCGGGTGATTGAAGAGTTCACCATCTCTCTTTCCCTCATTCGCTCCATTGACTTTTACTATATAGATTCACACATCCATTCATACTATCAGGCAATTGAGGTGAAGTTCCTTGCCTAGGGGAACAACGCGCCGGCCGGGACTCGAACTCTCGAACTCAGATTTGTCGTGACTTTTCCGAGTCCGATGCTCTAACCACTCTTCCACCGCGCCCCTATACTGATATATACGAGCAGTAAATAACTTAGGAACTTTATTCATTCACCGGTTACAGAGACTTTCAATCACAAACAACATTGCATGTGTATTGTTATAGGAATTAGATGCAAATTTCCAAGTCATTATACAGAATGACACATTTAAGGATATATTCTTTAGTTTACTTTTAAGAATTAACAAAAAATGATCATATGTGTAGCTCTCAAGTAAATCATACCCCTGATATTTAAAAGAATAATCATTATAATCTATCAAGGCATATTCTAATTAGATTAAATACTCATTATGGGCGTGTGTGCGTGTGCATGTGTGTGTTTGTGTGTGTGTGTGTGTGTGTGTGTGTGTGTGTGTGTGTGTGTGTGTGTGTGTGTGTGTGTGTGTGTGTGTGTGTGGTTGTGTGCATGTGCATGTGTGTGTGTGTGTCTGCCAGTCCGTCTGCGTGCATACACCTTAGATAAAGACAATGAAAATTGCTTAATCGTTGTTCCGCTCAACAGGCAGCTTAAGTGTCTTCCGAAAATGGGAATTATAATGACACCCGTGCTTGTATACACAATCCTCTTCATCTTCTGTTTGTATAATTTCATGCAGTTCTTGGTTCAGATGCTCCAGGATCTCTGTGAAGCTTTTCCCTCTGCTGATATTTTCACACATCAGCATGCACGCACGGTCCACGTAGATGGATCCTGTGGGTGGGAAATACGTAAGTAATCGTGGGAATGTATATACGAGATGATTGTACAGTATGTATATGTATGTAGATGTGTGATTGTGATACTTGACAGGCTGGCCCCGAACCTTGTGTGTGTGTGTGTGTGTGTGTGTGTGTGTGTGTGTGTGTGTGTGTGTGTGTGTGTGTGTGTGTGTGTGTGTGTGTGTGTGTGTCAGATACTTAGAGCTATTTCAGCTGATCATCATAACAGAGAGCTTACTCTGATGATAGGTTTGCAACTCCAGTTTGCACAACATAAGTGTCGGGAACAAACTTTCCACGGGATTCGTTCACATGTTCACACTCCTATAAGTAGCATGGCGTGTCACAATGCTCATTGTATTCAACACGTATATACAGATACATACAATACACACCTATTTGCAGACACATATTTTGTCTTAGCCATGTTTCCGCTTGCTACATTATCTTTTCATGTTCTATTGCCTGATTATTGCTTTTGTTCACTGCTAATGCCTTCTTATTCTTAAATATCTTAAATATCAAAATATCAAAATATTGTTTATTCTTACAAATATTAGATGGATGAGGTTGCAGAGTTTTCTGTTGAAAGAATATTTCTTAATATCTCTCTCCAGTGTAATTCTTAAAATCCTGGAAATCGTCAAACATATGTATATGTATGTATATATGTGTGTGCATGTGTGTGTGTGTTTGTGTTTGTGTGTGTGCCATTAAGAAATATTACCAGGTTTATAACATGGATTTTTTCTCCCGTTTTATACCTAAAAATAGTAGAGGGAAGCCATGGGAGGAAATATTTAAAAGACGTAAATGACATCATCAAAATTAACATTGTTAATATCATCATATGGTTATTATATCATACTGAGTAATATGACTAATAATGTTCTCTAACATATTGATTCCTCATAAATTGACAATCTAGAATGACTCACACAAAATCACAATCGCACTGTCTGAAAGGTAACATTTCTCACGCTTCTCCAAAACGCTATTTTAACCAAAAAGACATTTCAACTAGCGAATGCAAAGGAATTTGGGTGTTGGCCATATTGGTCGGATACGCAGGGTCTCGCTAAGAAGATTCTTAAAAGTTGTAATGATATTAAGATGCCTGAGACGTTAGGAGTCCCTTGCAACGCCGTGAATTTTTAACCAAGCAGTGGGCGGGGAGGGGAAAAGCGATTTCATGAGCCATTCCGGCAGCAGCGTCTTCCACATCTGGACTGAAGGAGTGTAAACGATCAAGACAATGGAGGGAAGCTGATCCACTCGTTGCTGGGTGGAGGAGGAACCATGAGATGTGATGTTTGTCATGGAATTGGCATTGGGATGGCAGACCATTATCCTGGTGATCCAGGTGTTGAAAGTCTTGGCGTTAGTTGCAGCCACAAAGGCATGGATACACTTAGTCTTTAGCGATATGAAGCAGTCAGTCGTCTTATAAATGTAATTATAGCCTCTGTCAGCGGGCAAATGGCCGAATATATTGAGGTGAGTGTGTTGTATTCATCTATCAAGTACAGAAAGTACCCTGGGGGGAGGGGGGGGTCGTGAAGGTGGTACTTACATTCCTTTCTGTTACAAAAGACGAGAAAACTGTTTATATAAGATGTGCATGTGCCTGTCAATTTGCATGTATGTACAGTTGAATGTGTGTATATCATCTTACACATACTAGTCAGAGTATACATGAAAAATGAGTGAAGAAAAACAAGAGCAGTACTGAATACATACCGTGAGTGGTTTCCCGCCCAGATAGGTTGTCGGGCATTGTTGAGTAGGCCACCAGCGTGTCCATCATGGGCTGTGTATGATAAATGTCGCGCCCTCTGTCGGGTACGTCAAGCATATAATCCCTGACTCTGGTGCTTCCAATAGAAAACAGATCCCCTTTTGCTTGAAGGCTCTCTCTGTCATCAGCTGCAAATGCATGAACATTTTAGCCATTACTATGTGTCTGTATACGTGTATAATATTTTCACTGAATATGTTTATCTTATTGTGATTATATATATTATTTTTAACACACCAGCACCTATTGACAAACTGCTTTTATCCACTTCACCAAGCCTTACCTTCAAGTCTGAACTTCTTTCTACCTAGGCATGACACCATGAAGAATACTTTTGGCTTCAGCTGGAAAGAATCTATGTTGGAGAACTTTGTAAGAAAGCTTTGTCTTTCAATAGTGTTCCCATCAGCAAGCTCCATGCAGTTTTCATCCCCATGAGACATGAACCAGCAAGTGAAGGAACTGTAGAACCGATATTTAGGCTTCATCAATTCATTTTTCATGTTTTCGATTGTCTTTTCCTTTGGATCCTTTTCATGGTGCGATATCATGCCTAGATGCTTGGAGACAGTTAACACTTTCTGGATTTCTGCAATCGCTCCATCCCGGTTGCTTTGAACAGACAATATGAGACAGAAGCCAAAAGGATAGCACTCCACTGGGTAGCAACGCAGGCCCTCTATAATAGAACTAAGTGTTTTCCCCTCTTCACAGGCTGACTCTTCCTCACAATCCCCTAGGAGGCGCTCCAGTTTACTTGTACACACCCTGTTGATTTTATTTAGCATTTGCAAATGACGAACTATGTAAAAGAATAGGCACTCTTTTATCCCTATTGGCTCTAAATGAACGGAGAAACCAATAACCTCTATGGTATGCACACCTAAGGTTAGCATCCTATCTTTTCTCAGAGCTCTCCAAATCTGCGCTACTCCTGCTGGCTTCAGTGAGTCGCAGATCTTTTCTAGCACAAGGTCGGCAGAATCCAATAAGAAGCGATAGTCTCGCTCCTCGTCCGTCATTTCAAAGTTGTCTTGAATAGAAGATACTTTTTCCAAATCAAAAAAACAAGGAACAACATTCAAATATTTGCAAGCGGAGAAAAAACTCAGATATTCGTAATCTGTCTCTGAGATTGTTTTTTCAATCACATTATGACGAGAAAAGGCCTTTGCCTTCCCCTCCAAATAATCATCTATTTGGTTGAAATTTCCAAGAGCGACAGCACTTGCCAGCGGTAACTGGGTTGTCTCGACATTCTGGGTCCTCATGCAACTGGGAGTATTAGCATGAGTAGAGAAGAAAAACAGCTTTGCCTTCTTCACAGGGGTGATGCCTGATAGCCATTCCTTCACTTCGGCTGTTATGTCCATCTTGCTTCCTGTTGAAAACGGAAATTTGGGCCATATTAATAAGACGATTGCTGTCCGAATAAGTCTTTTGATGAAAAGACTGCAAAACACATGACATGTGTTTGTAATGTAATCAGATTTCCACATAACTACAATGAAAGATGATCATGAAAGTAATAAAGACATACTACAAAATACAAAGGGATAACTATATATCAGATATAATGTTTGGTATACAGTAGGTGAATACCTATGTATCAAACGACTGAGTCAGTTCAGGAATGTTGTAGATAGAAAAAAACGAAGAAGAAAAAAAAATATATATATATATATATACATACACACACATATATATTGAAATATATATCATAATCATCATAAGGGGGCATACGCATGGCTGCGCTTTGCCTCGCCCAACCTTTGCCTCCACCTCCTGGGGTCCCTCCGAGCGAGCCTCCATGCAGCATTCCTTCCCACTCCCAGTACATCTTGGCAGATCTGATCGACTTGCTTCAGCCATGAGTTCCGTGGCCTTCCCCTTGGTCTTCTCCAGCCTGGGTCAACCCTCTCGGAGATGACCCTATGAGCCGGATCTTCCTCAGGGAAACGAGCCACATGTCCATAGAGCTGAAGTTGGCGCTCTCGTATCAGACTGGTAATAGGTCTTGAATCAGTCTCATGGAGTATCCTCTGATTGGACACATGGTCCCTCCAGGTATACCCCATGATTCTGCGAAGACACTTAGTACCGAAGGAGTTAAGACGGGCTTTCAGAGCACTGTTCAGTGTCCAGGTCTCACACCCGTAGAGCAAGACCGGGATCACCAGTGCTCTGAAGAGCCTGATCTTAGTTCTCCTAGTCAAATACCGACAGCGCCAAATACTCCTATTGAGTGAGTCCATAACGCCGTAGGCCAGTCCGAGTCGTCGAGTGACTTCCCGGTCGGAACCTCCGTCGCTCTGCACTACACTACCAAGATAAGTGAAGCTATCCACGACCTCAATGTTCTCGCCACAGGTATGCACAGACTGAGCATCGACATCCAAAAAGTCCCCAAATTCCTGAACCTTGGTCTTGGTCCAGTTGACCGCGAGTCCCAATGGCTTTGCCTCCTCATGCAGCGCCTCGAGAGCTACTTCCAGGACCTCTAATGTCTCCGCTAGAATCACTGCATCATCGGCAAAGTCAAGGTCTGTGATCTTGAAATTACCAATTGATGCCCCACAGGAACTACGGTTCACGGTACGGCCAAGTATCCAGTCCATACAAGTGTTGAAAAGGGTTGGGGCCAGGACACATCCCTGTCTCACCCCGGCACACACCGGGAAGAAGGCAGAGATGCCCTCCCCACACTTGACAGCACTCTCAGTATCTGTATACAGGCCAGACAGCAAACCAATAATTCCAGGGGGGATCCCACAGAGACCCAGTAGGCTCCAGAGACTCTCCCGGTGCACTGAGTCGAAAGCCTTCTTGAGATCAACATAAGCTGCAAGCATACCCTGTTGAAACTCAAGTCGGCGTTCCACAAGGACACGAAGTGCTAAGACACGGTCTATAGTTGACTTCTTGGGTGTAAAACCAGACTGCTCAGGTCTCTGTGCTCTTAATAGGTGGTCGCGCACTCGTGCCAGAAGCAGATGAGCGAGGACCTTGCCTGGTACGCTGAGCAATGTAATACCTCTGTAGTTGCCACAGTCCTTTTGGTCCCCTTTCCCTTTCCAGATAGGGATGACCAAGCCCCTTTTCCAGTCAGGGGGAATGGTACCAGTCTCCCAAACGGCAGACAGGACTGCATGCAAACCACAGATCATGGCTTCTCCACCCGCCTTCAACAACTCTGCAGCAATCCCACAGACACCAGCAGCCTTTCCACTTTTCAGCTTAGACACTGCCCTTCTCACCTCTTCGATGGAAGGTGGTGCCTCACTGATTGGTGGATCAGCCACTAGTGGCTGTGTGCCAGCCAACGGGAGTTGTGAAGACAGGGGATCTACCCTATACAGTTGCTCAAAGTACTCAGCCCAGCGGGCCCTATACTCACCAGGCTCTGACACAATGCGACCATCCTCTGCTCTCACTGAGCTCGATTGAGAGATGGACTTTGATCGGAGTTCCCTCAGGGCTCGGAAAGCAGGTCGAAGGTCATTTTGAGCAAAATGACCTTCCAACTCTTCCACGATGCCCCTAACGTACCTCTCTTGGTCCACTCTCAAAGAGGCCCTAGCAGAGCGAGACAGCTCCCTGTGAAAGACATGGTTCCCATCCAGTTTGGCAGCACGACTCATCTCTATAGTGTTCAGTGTCTCGTCTGAGACAACACACCTCCTTCGCCGAGGTCGGACACCAAGGCACTCCTCAGCAGCTGACAGAGTTCCTCGCTTAAAGGTATCCCACAGTTCAGCAGGGTCCTGTAGAGTACCAAGCATTTCAAACCGATTTGAGACTGCCATTGCATACTCCTGAGCCACCTCCTCACTCTTGAGCCTCTCGAGATGAAACACCTGCTGGTGAGATCTCGGGATGCGTCTAGATCTGAGGCGGAGCCTTAGTGTTGCGACAACAAGTCTGTGGTCGGTAGCAAAGAACTCAGCACTCCTAAAAACTCTACAGTTCTGAAGGATCCTCCAGCGAGTATCCACGAGAATATGGTCAATCTCTTTAGCTACAACGCCAGTATTGGAGTACCAAGTCCAGCGGTGTAGATCTCGTCTCTGGTACCACGAGACCGCAATCCTCAGCCTCCTAGATCTTGCGAAGTCTAAGAGGTATGAGCTATTGATGTTCCTAGTACCAGAGCCATAGGGACCGATGCATAGCTCGTATCCTTCCCTGTCAGTGCCAGTGACTGCATTGAAGTCCCCCAAGACCATGAGGGTGTCCCCCCGGGGACATTGATCCACTATAGAGTCAAGCTTGGCGTAGAACATCTCTTTCTCTTCAAGCCCACTTCCCTCAGTAGGAGCGTAAACTGCAATTAGAGATATGAAGCCCAAAGTGTGCTTCATTCTCACAAGCAGAATACGCTCGTCAACAGGGATAACCTTCTTGACTGAGGAACGGAAGCGGTCAGAGACAGCCACCGCGACTCCCCTAAGGCGCGCACCATTGCTACAGCCAGACCAGTAGTAGGTATAACCCCCACTACTGGTCTCACCACAACCAGGCCGTCGTACCTCAGAGAGAGCAGCGATGGCAATCCCCAGCCTCCCCAGCTCCCCCGACAACGAAGGCAGTCGATCATCCTCCGAGAGACTGAGGATATTCCAGGCCGCTACACGGCACGCTCGCCGCAGATTGACCCCATTTGTGGGGCTCCGGCCGGGCGACGCCTCGGCACAACCAGGCATGCCTCCCAAGGAGGAAGAGTGGGCTTATAAATTATATTATGTGATTATATACATACATATACATATATATATCGTAGAATGCTTATATTTATATATATGTATATGTATATATTCTATATGTATATATACATATATTATTCTATATGTATATATTACATATATGCATATGCATATATAATTATATATATATATATATATATATATATATATACATACATATATACGGAAAAAAAAAATATATATATATATATATATACATACACATGTAATATATATATGAAAGGGTAAGTAGTGAAAGAGAAGTGACAATGCCGGAAACAAAGTCAAACGGTAGTTGGGAACCATTAGCCTACGTGAAGCCTGCTATGAGTGAATGAGTACGCGAGTCGAAGTGTGAATGAAGCCCCGTGAAGCAGTGACGTATGTAAGGTAATGTGCATTCGAATGAAATGAAATGTTGAAAGGGTGAATGAGTAGAGAATGTTTTGTGCATATTGTTTTCCTCTACAAAATAGCCCCCCCCCCCCTCCCCCGAAAATATTGTAATGATGATTAAGTGACCTAATAAAAGACTGATATTTATGATGCGACCATAGAAAAAGTAAAACAAAACAAAAATAGAGATAGGAAATAAATGGAAAATGTGACCAAGCTATTAAATGTGATGTGAAGTAGAAAAAAAAAGAGAGAAAAAAATAGACTAAGCAATATATGAAAATAAATCTTTATCGAATGACAAGGGAAATCTCCCAGTGTGACGTCCCATTCACACTCAAACAGCTGCCCAGACGAGATATACCCACCCGGGGGGGGTAACAACCACTTTAAACACCCTCGCTAAGGAAAACGATTTCTGTTATAAAACGTGAAAAAGTGATGTTGACAATGAAAAATAATAATAATGATAAAGTAAAGAATGAAAATAAAATAGGGGTTTATAACACTTAACATGGATTCTGGGGTGAAGCGGAAAAGTGCTGCGTCACGTCCCAAGTACATACGCCCGTACGAAAAAGCACTCGTAAGGTGTGGGACGAAACGAACGAGTCTAAGAAGCTATAGGTGTGATAAAGGATGCGCAAGGAGATGAAGAAAAGTGAGGAAAAGTAAGAACGCTGCTACAAACACCCGGACGTTACGTGAGATGTAGAAAAGTGTGAACATTACCCGCGATTATTGGCCACGAAGTGCACTGAACTAGGAGGCGATTAAACGGTGGATTTATATTGCGTGAATTATTTTCCTGATTTATATTTTATTCTATTTTTCATATTTTTATCTTTATTTTTATTATTTTTTTTTTTTTTTGTATGGATTTGAATAATAAATCAGAATAATAATAGTGTTCCTTTAAGAACAATGTTAAAAGTAAGCAACAAAGAAGATCCGCAGAAGATCAACCTCTACAAAATAGCCCCCCCCCCCCTCCCCCGAAAATATTGTAATGATGATTAAGTGACCTAATAAAATACTGATATTTATGATGCGACCATAGAAAAAGTAAAACAAAACAAAAATAGAGATAGGAAATAAATGGAAAATGTGACCAAGCTATTAAATGTGATGTGAAGTAGAAAAAAAAGAGAGAAAAAAATAGACTAAGCAATATATGAAAATAAATCTTTATCGAATGACAAGGGAAATCTCCCAGTGTGACGTCCCATTCACACTCAAACAGCTGCCCAGACGAGATATACCCACCCGGGGGGGGTAACAACCACTTTAAACACCCTCGCTAAGGAAAACGATTTCTGTTATAAAACGTGAAAAAGTGATGTTGACAATGAAAAATAATAATAATGATAAAGTAAAGAATGAAAATAAAATAGGGGTTTATAACACTTAACATGGATTCTGGGGTGAAGCGGAAAAGTGCTGCGTCACGTCCCAAGTACATACGCCCGTACGAAAAAGCACTCGTAAGGTGTGGGACGAAACGAACGAGTCTAAGAAGCTATAGGTGTGATAAAGGATGCGCAAGGAGATGAAGAAAAGTGAGGAAAAGTAAGAACGCTGCTACAAACACCCGGACGTTACGTGAGATGTAGAAAAGTGTGAACATTACCCGCGATTATTGGCCACGAAGTGCACTGAACTAGGAGGCGATTAAACGGTGGATTTATATTGCGTGAATTATTTTCCTGATTTATATTTTATTCTATTTTTCATATTTTTATCTTTATTTTTATTTTTTTTATTTTTTTTTTTTTTTTGTATGGATTTGAATAATAAATCAGAATAATAATAGTGTTTCCTTTAAGAACAACTGTTAAAAGTAAGCAACAAAGAAGATCCGCAGAAGATCAAACCAGCAACCTTTACATACATATATAAAGATATATTACACACATACACACATACACATCTATACGTACATATATAATGTGCGTATATAAGTATATATATATGTATATATATGTATATATAGATATATATACATATATATACATATATATAAGTATATACATATATATAAGTATATACATACATATATAATATATACGTATATATATATAAATATACAGATATGTGTGTGTGTGTGTATACATGTATATATGTATATACATACATATATAATATATGTGTATATATATGAATATACACACATATAAATATACATAAATATATATACATATATATGTATATACATATATATGTATATACATATATATCTGTGTGTGTTTACCTATATATATATTATCATGGAAGGGAATGAACATTGACTTCTTCAGCCAGTAAAAAGTAATTATTAACGGGAATTATTCTAACACCACGAGGCTTATTTTTTGGACCCCCGTTTTTCTAATCACGATTGAGGACATTAATGCAAATATCAGTCACTCCAGACTAATATCTGTTGATACGAGGATTTGTACGCCCTTGATTTTAATATATGATAAGGACCTACTGCACAAACATCCCAGATAAGAAAAATGTGTGATCAAAGCTTCTTAATCAATGAGCTAAGACTGCTAAATAGTGTATCAGAAATGTAATAAATACAACTCAGTGTTCAAAAGAAATCGAGACAGCTGGTTAAATTTAGCGATAAAGCGAACCGCTAAAAATAGTAGTGAAAGAACGAAAGCTGAATCAATGTCTATTATTCTTCAAGTTCAGTTCTTAGTTGCTGAGAAAAATATGGGCGGTTTCCCAGGATGACAGTAAAATAAGCCAATAATATACATATATATATACATATATGTGTGTGTGAGAGAGAGTATGTATGTAGCTTTCACATTACGACAATATATATATGTGTGTGTGTGTGTGTGCGCGCGCGCGCGTGTGTGTGTGTATATAAATATACATATTGCTATATTGTGAAAGCTAGCTATTCTAAAATTGCATGGCACTGAAAATACGGCATATTGCCGACGCAATCTGTAACATGGAGCTTTAACGTTCAATTGCTACGGCTGTAAGAATATATACGGTCAATTAGTTCCTCGCCAGAATATCACCAAAACACCACATGTTGAAGACAAATTTGAAAATAAAAAAAGAGAGAAAAAAAAAATCACAGACTGCGAAATATAACAACTACTTTGTGATAGAGAGAGAGAGGTGTGGGGGTTTGGAAGTGAGAGAAAAAAAAAAGCAATGAGGATTATACATGTGATATGCCGTTTGTTTTTTCGTACTCTTTTTTTTTTAATGGTAAATGATGTTGAAATAGATTAGACCGTTATCAATAAACTATGCTGGTAAGACAATGCACCGCACGGAATACCTCATATCTACAGCAAATAAAACTA